AAGTTGTCCCTGCAATATCAAATCTTGCCCCCCCCCCCTTTTTTTTTTTGGACAGTTTTTGATATCTACAGTTAAGACATACTTAACTAATTTTTCCAGGGATTCTGCCTCATTTCAGATATAAAATTAATAGTCCGAAGTAAATGAAGTTTCTGGTATGTAACCTCTTTGTTCTTAGTACTTCATATAGAATTCAGTGTAGTTACTGTATACGATTTGTATGCAATGTAATTGCCTGGTACACAACTGTTAGTTGATCTTTGCAGCATCTCTGTATGTTCACAAAGTGATCAACTGCTCAGGAGTTCATATATAGCTCCTGCTATAGGGGAGGCAGACTCTTGCTCTGTGGCACAGCTTGCTGGCTCTGTCTGTGATAGCAGAGTTCTCTCTCAAGCTCTAGAAATGTATGGGCTGCCAGCTATGCTAATGAAAACTTTCTGGTTACAAACTTGCAATGTCAAATTTATAAAATGTAACCAAAACATCACCATTTAAAAACATAGGTGGGGGGGAAAAAAAGCTTCAGTATTTCTAGTTGCTATTTAAAAATCAATTACAAGTTAGCAGTCACTATATCTTTGTATGCAACTCGAGTCTTTTTTTTTCAGTCAACAACAGTGCAAAAACTTATGGAACTTACAGATTTTTTTTTCCATAAAGATCTAAAATGAAAGGAATAACATTAAACAAAATCAGACTGATTTATTTTTTCTGTTGTGACCCTTTAGATGTGTAGACTGCTTCTAAAAGGCCTGCAGGAAGTAAGTGTGCAGTTTCTCAGTTGTCTTGAGCCAGCTCAAGGCAGTGCTTGCATTGAAAGGGCTTGATCTGCTCTGTGCGCATGCTAGTGTTTGTGTTTTCACCTGAACCAAAAAGCAGACTGACATGTGAGTGCCACTGCTAGACACCTAATCAGGGGTCACTTTTTCCATTGAGTTTTGAAGTTATTTTTCTAATGCATATAAAATATGTGCAGGCAACATTTTATGACAGTTATGGGGTCCTTATTTATCAAATGAACCTGAAATTGTTTGGCAAGATTAGTGACAAAAGCTATTCTGGATTCTATTTCTGTACTGATTTATAGATTTTTTTTTTTCTTCTTAAAAGTAGGGTGGTGATTACTTTTTGTGGAGGGCAGCTCTGTTTCGGCAGTGGTACCAAAGTTATTTATCTATATATAGTGTTCTGTGAGTAGAAGAATTATTAATATTTCTAGGTTCCTTAAGACTTGTTTTCCGTCTCCACAGCATCAGTATTCTTTCTAGCCTTCTCCCCAATTCTTTCTTTCTTCCAGTGCTTTCCCCCACACTCCTTATCCATGCCACATCTTTCATGTCTGCTAACTGTGTTGAGAGGCTGGATGCAGCATAATCTCTACCTGCTTCCACCCTGCTTCGGGACTCATAGCTTGCTGCCATAAGACAGTGCTGTACAGAAAGGAGAACTATCTGCTAAGACTGATGCTGCACACTTTGCCTTGGGACGTAGTGTTGTGCCAGTCTGAGCATTCATCTGCTGGCTGCTGCATTTCTGTTCCCTCTTTTACCTAGCTCTGAGGCTTGTCTGACTTAATATTAAGTAGCTTCTGTGACTTTGTCACTCTCGTTCAGCCAGTGTGTAACCCAGTGGACAGCTGAAATGGCTTGGACAAGTTCTCGGACCGTGTGGGGTAAATGCGCATGAACAGGCTGTGGTGAAGAGGAGGGGATCAGCAACAGCAATTGGCTTGGATGGCTGGAATTGCTGCATCAGCTGAGGCATTAATTTCAGAGTGTCATTTTATTACAACTCATTTTGTGACAAAATCAAGGGCACTTCTCATATTTCTGTTAGATTTGATTGAAACTGGCCTTAGGTCTTAGCTTTCAAGAACAGACTGACAGATGGACAGTGATTATAGTTGTATGGGCTTTGTTTCCTTATAAAATGGTCAAACTTCAAGAAGTTTAGCACTTTGAAAAGTAAAAGATCATTAACACTGTGTGCAAACCTCTGGCACACTCATCCTGTGAGTCGCAGCCTGGTGGTTCTTATGCCTTTGGTTGCTGTATTTTGTTACCAGAGAAGTCCTTTGGGATCAGTTGTTGCCTGGCTTGTAGCGTGGCTAAAATAGCCTCATCTTGTTCTGTGGATAAAGAAGAGCACAGGAGAAACTCGAATATTACAGAATCAGGTATTCTGTAATATAGGTCAGAGAGTTTAAATATATGTAATCCAAACATTTGACTGCAGAGGTTTTAAAAGGCTGAAAATGCAGAATTAGATAGAGTTGGCCTGGAAGAATGATCTCCAAGTAAAAGAACGAGGGATTATAATTTTAAGTATTGTAAAATTTGTAAAAAGGTAGATGCTTATAAACGTAGGTGGTCTGAGTACTCGTCATCAACTGCATCAGCTAATGCATCAACTGCATTAGCTTTGGCTTTTCAATGCTTCTACATATAGAAGGAACTGCCTATCTACTGGGCAGTGTCCATGTAATGTGAAGTAGCCCATACAATACAAAGTAGTCATTCACACAATACAAAAATTGTTCCCCTCAGATATCATCTGTTGCCAATTGTGCTTGGCCTGTCTGGTCAGCCAGTAGTCAGGAGCGTGCGTGGGAGTTCTGAGGAGCTGCTCCTGATAAATGGAGAGGGGTGCGAGGGAGGCTCTGCTGAGTCGAGCTGGCTTGGAAGGAACCCCAAGGCCCTGGAGAGGCAGGTAAAGCAAGCACAGAGCTGTGGGGAGGAGACCTGTAGTTACTGCTGTGAGAAGATGTATAGTGAAGGCTCAAAAGTCTGATAGGAAACTGATCTTCAGTATTTTTAAAGGCAGACATACTTCTTAAATACGTAGTGTTCTATTTCTGGATAGTCAATACTTGAACTTCAGTATTTTTTGGAAATTTAAAAGCTTTTACATTATACAAATATACAAAAAGATTGATACACTTCAGAGTGGGTGAGATCTGGTATTTCATGTCCTTGTAATGGATTTTAAACTATATACATGATTTAATTCAATTAATTTTTATTGGTTCTTAATAAATATTTTTTGAAATTGCTTAAAATTTTTTTCCTTTTTTTTTTTTCCTTTTTTAGGTGTTGGGAAATCATGTTTATTGTTACAGTTTACAGACAAGCGATTTCAACCAGTCCATGATCTTACTATTGGTAGGTCTGTTTTGTCTCCTCAATGGTAATACACTATTTTAAAGTGTGTGTGTGTGTGTTTGTTTTTTTAATGATGGTAAGCAGTAGAGTAACTGAGCCTGTGAGTTTATTGTGCTGGCCAGCATAGGATTTGTGCTGTATTAAGGCATCATTTATTTCTTTATGTGATGAATATTTGTTAGCTAATGAAGCTAAGTGGAAGCCAGCTTCTTACTGGGAAAGTAACATAACTATGAAATTGTTTAAATTGGTTCAGATAATGCCTAAACTCTTTCTTCAGAATAGCTAAAAGCTGGATATGGAAATGGAATTGGTCAAGCTTGAAATACCTTATTGTATATATAAATTGAGACTTTTTGTTAGAGAATGGAATGTTAGCCTAAACCTGAAGACAAACAGCAGATAACTAAAGGATTTAACTTAAAAAGGACTCTAACTTAAAAGATGAATATACAAACACTATTTGGGAAGACTAACTTCTTGGTGGAGAAGGACTGGAACTCAGAGGTGTTTGTTGTCTGGAAGGGACAGGGTTTTTTCCTGTTTCCTCATTTGGATTAGAATCTGATATGAGGTATGATTTCATACTGATACTAAAGGAAATGAATTAATTATGAAAGGATGCATTGCCTGTGATCTGACGACAACAGATTCTATGAACTGCCTTTATCCTGATGACAACAGATTCTATGAACTTCCTTTATCTTTCCACATAAAATATGAGGAATAGTGTGTGAATATATATATCTTTTTCTTGAACAAGGTTAGTCTTCAGATTAGTCTTTCTCTTGAGCATAGTAGATGCTACTTCTCATAGAAGTAGCAGGACCTTTGAGCAGGACCTCCCTTGTATGTGAATCAGGTGGTTTGATTATGGCTTCTGTTTCTAGCGTGACAAGCCTTGCACCCCTTGTGTGTGGCTGACTGATTTAATCCAAATGAATAGTCTCACATCAGTTTTTAAATATTCCTGAGGATTTTTGCAGTGGCTAGGCTGGTTGAGTAACGAACCTGAGCTCTCTGTGGAAACGGGACTTACTGTCACCTTCCCTTATGGGTTCATATGTCACACCTTGTGTATCGTTTGTGGCCTTGGCAGTCCTGCCGCATGTTCCTCAGGAACATGCTGATCTGAGAAGGGGCTTCACATTCACCATGTTCAAACTTGTGTGAATTTCCACACAGCATGTGATCAAAAGGGTTGGTATTTTCTAGTTGATGTTGTTCTGACTTGTTAGAATTTGTGGATTAAAAAAAGTTTAATTACGCAGGCTAACTTTTATCAGTATAGTACAACTATTTTAACAAATGGGAATGCAGCTTCTATTTCTACTGCAAGTAACTCAGAAGAAGGGAAACCAAAATTAGATATTGGGGAGTAAAAGTTGTACCATCTAGGGTTTTACAAGGTTCATCCAAAAATTTTAGTATAGCCAGTCTAAAATGTGAACTCTAAAGTTTAGGAAATTCAGGGAGAACACTGTAACATCTGCCTCAGGTCATTTGGGAACTGGACTAAACTTCTGTTTAGTTTTCCTGTTATGCTTAGGACATTACCCTTACTCCAGACCCGAACAGCTTCTATTCCTTCTTTGTGCTGTTTTTTTGTTTGATTTTTTTGCTTCAGATTGACAATTTTCTCACAGTATAGAATTTGATAAGAGGGTGAATATTCTTTCATTCTTTCTATGGGGATACTAAACTAAACACTTGGATTGCTGCTTTTAAATCAGCAGTTCCATATCTCTGCATTTAGAGATCATGTAATAGCTGCAGTGTTGATGCTTTTGGTATCCCAAGGACGTTGGTCATGCTTTGCAGAAGATTTCAAAATATAGTCATTTGTGTGTTCCCTCCTCCTATCTTCTTCTCCTCCCTCCCCCATTGGTAGCTTTTTCCTGCATTTTTTTTCCAAGTTGTTTGGAACCTTAAGAGAATCAGTTTTCTTTGGCCAACAGCTTATGCTGGTTTCCAGTAACGTGTGTGTTGGAAAGTAGTTTTGGTGGATTCCGCTCCCCACCCTAGAAAATGATTTCTTCTGCAGAATGCAGCAAACCTAACAAGCTTTTAGAGAGATGTTTGGGATATCTCCAGTGCAGAACTACTTATTTAGAAGACTCCATTCAAATCTAGACAATGAGCAATGTTAGACAAAATTTAAGTTGGTAATGCTTTATTTTTTTTTCAGAAATAATGGTATGTGAAACACAAAGTAATTGAAACTTGATAGCTGTATAAATGTTTTCTATTTCTAAGCATTTCTCGGATTTTAACTTGCTGTAGCAATAGACTGAAATTTGTGCTTAGTTACTGTTAATGATCTTAAAGCTGCATTAAAAGATGGATACAAAAGGCTGAATTTTAATTCATTTTGCTTACCAGAAACATTTCTGTAATGTCTGTTCAGGTGTAGAATTTGGGGCTCGAATGATAACTATTGATGGAAAACAAATAAAGCTTCAGATATGGGATACGGTAAGTAATAAAAGATGAAAATTGTTTAAACATGTGACCCTGCTAACATTTTTCTTTATTGTTCTCTGTGATCACCTTCTGTGTGAGAGTATATTCTCAGTCTTACAGCTTTCTTTAGTTCCTCTGAAAACTAAATATTTAAAAAAATTCTGTTCTTTGGTGTAATGTACTAGTAAAACATTGTAGTTTTCTGCCATTTATACTGTATCCCAACTTCCTTAAATGACTTGGCAGAAATTTCTAAGACTGAAACGCATGCTTTTTTCTTTTTTCTGTGAAAATGTTTTCTGTATTATTGACATTATTTATTTTTCCTCTAAGTAGCCTCTTTGTGTGCATTTATGCAAGATCTGCTTAATTTAACTTGCTGTTGGGAAATTGCGATGTGTTTACTGGTTTTAATCTCCCATTGAATTAAGAGTCTTCCAAAGATCTGTTTGCACTTCTGATATAAAAGTAATGTTCAGTTCACGTTTGGTTTTTTGTTTTTGCATGGAAGACCGAAGAACTCAGGTTCCCCATAATCATGAATGTAGTGAGTACTTCAGAAAAACAAGGCAGATTTCCTTGCTTCCAAAAGCACAGCAAACAAGGCAAAGGCCTTCACTTTGCTGGTTCACGTTAAGAACATTTTCACATTATAGAAGTTGGTTCCTCTCCCAGCCTTGCCAGTTGCTTTTCGTGGGTGGGTAGGCAGGTAGGTTGCCTGCTCCACTGTCCACTCTTGTTGCGAAACAGCTTTGAGAGGCCCATCTTGATAGTTGTTGTTTCCAAGGCACCTATTTCTTCCCCAAGGCAGGATTTCCCAGTTCCTTTTCCAGAAATATTTTAGGAAACATCCAGAAATGGACAGGCAGTGGAATAGCTGTAGTGTCATGTTTGTACGTTTTGTGTGGCAAATCAATAAATTTGGCTAAATCTATTGGCTAATCAATAGGCTAAAATTCTGCTTTTACATAACTTCAGAGCTAGTGTACCATGCTTATTTTACAATTTCTTCATTTGAAATGGCATCTAGCACCTTGGAAGTTTGCCATGAAAAGGTGTAAAAGAATATGGTCAGACTATGCTTGCTTTAGGCCTTTTCTGCCCTAGGTATTTGTCATGTTATGGCTGTGGATTGCTGACTCCCAAGGTAGCTGATCACTACAAATTCAACACATCTCTGCATGAACAGACGTTTCTAGTGTTTAGCATGACCACATGCTACACTTCCTAAAGTGGGACAGACTTACTTAATACCGACTTACCAATATTACTGCAAGTGCAGGCACTGTCTTTCATTGTCTTTCCGACTGACTTCGTTCATGTGCTGTTATCTGCTCCTTGATTAGAAATGAAATTCAACTGTTTGAGTAAGTTGTATTTTTCTTACTGCCTGCAACTCAGTAGCTCTTTACAGTCTCTTTGGCTTCATACGCTCCTGCCAAGTGTCCTGTAACCACAGTTTCAATGGATTTGCTACCGCTTCTCGGGTAGTGATTTTATTAGGATAGCTTCTTTACTGTAGTATCTATAAATTAAAAATATTCATTGAAAGCTTTCATACTCTCTCAGTACCTTGCATGTTTATGTCAGTTATTAATAATTTATAAATTGTAAGTGATAAATGATTTTATAATAGGCTGTAGTTAAAAATTTAATGCTATATAGCCCAATTTTTAAAACATGGGATATTTCTAGTCTAATCCAATCTTGGCTTGCAAGCTTATCTAAATTCAGCTGACTCAATTCTGGGCTTAGGTACAAAGGTCTTGAAGCAATACTAAGATAAGAAATATGATGAGGTATTTTCAAGAATGCTTCTTCCTTCAGATTGCTAAGGTACACAAATATGTCAATAATGAGCCAAGGTTACTGATTCTGTAGTGTGTATCTGGGCTGAGGTTTTCCAGGATGTTTTTTTTTTCTATGAGCAAGAACTGCTAGCTATTACTAGTGCTATATCTGTATTTATAAAGCTGTTAAATTTTTTCTCATGAGAAAAAAAATGATTTTGCAATGGTGTATTGCTAATACAATACGTGAAGCATTTACGTCTTCAGTCAGTGATGGGTGACTTGCAGCACCAGCACCTCTCTGATTTAATGCTAGTCTTTTGTATCTGCCTTTAATTCGTCAGTGCACAAGAAGAATCTTGAGCAGAGACCTAAGAAACAGAAATTATTTCTGTTGGTTACCAGTGAGTTAGGGACTTCCTTTCTTAAGAGAATCAGTATTTACTTGAAAATTTTCTGGACAAGTTCAATGGTAGGGTGATCAGTTTATGATGTTTTAAGGAGATCAGTGTAGCTCCAAAGAAGGCTGTATGTAGTGACAGTGGGAATATATGGAAGCTGTATATATGAAGCTGTAGTGTGCCTTACAGTGGGCAAATGTTAATTTACCAATCTGACAATCTGACACTGGTGCATCAGGAATTACCGAACAAAAAGAGCCCAGCTTGCTCTTCTATGTCAGAACTCAGGAAAGTTTAGTAAAACACCAAATGAGCAACTTGTTTTGTATGAGGAGTGTCTTAGGGAAATTAGCTGTACTTACTGCTCTTCAGTTCTCATGTGGGGCCACACAAACTTTTGGGTGAGACTACATGCGATCTGCTCAAGGAATACGCTAGTCTGTTACCAAATGTAGTTAGTGTCTTGTCCAATGCGCAGCTGATCTAGAGCTAGTCTGCAGTAGGAACCTGTGAAAGGGGAGCAGTTGGATATTGCTGGCTTAGCATCCTCAGCTGTGCTCTGTGCCAACATCTGCGCCAGCAATGTGTCCCCCGATTTTTCTCTACCATCTGCAGACTGCTCCAGGACCTTCCTATCGCTTGGCTTGGCAAGCTCACTGCTACATGTGCTGAGCCTGAGACATGTCAGGAGTTTTAGGTCTTCAAGTCCTTGACTTTCATTTTTCCTCTCTGATCCATTTAGGTCATCAGGCATAGTGACATGTTGGACTAAATTGTTCTGTGCCTTGCCCGTCGTGGTCTCTAGATTATTTCCTTCCCTGTAGTTTTGTTATTTTTGTAATGACTTTCAGTAAGCTCATAGTCTGACAAACATTTTTGTCAAAGCTGGATAACTGGTAATTGCCTGCTATGAGGCATTCAGCTCCTGTTTTGTGGAAGGGTGTGATATTTAAGGTACTGTCAGTTGCCAAAATAACTTTCCTTTTTAGGGAACCAGTAGTGATCTGCAGAAGTTGGTAAGGAACAAAATGACAGTTCTGGGAGCTGTTAAGCTTTGTGGGGTTTAAACAAGCTGTGCAGATGGATGTTGTTTGTCCTGTGACAGTGTAACACTGAAAACTATAAAAATTATTTCTCCTTGGAAAAACAGCCGTGTTGCAGAGAGATACAGGCTTGTTACCGGTCTGAGTCCATAGCCTTCATTTTGTGGTTGAGGAGGGATAAGTCCTTAAAATGTCATTGCTGACAGCTAAAAACCGCAGTAGTTAAAAAAAATCAAATTCTAATTCTGTCAAACTGTAGGGGAGAGAGATCAGTGATGATACTATATAATACTATTTATCTTCTGTGGACTGTATTGACATGGCCAAAAATTTTCCTGTTTGGAGACAGTAGGTTTGGAATTCCTTTACCTCACTTTTCCTCCTTTCATGGAAATCTATGATCAAAATCATTTCTTTTTATTCAGTATTATTTTTTCATAACATCTTAGCTCTTGCAATTGTGTTTATACCTCATGCATATTAAGAAATAACTGTTCTTGTTTTAGTTTTCCTCCTGAAGAGAAAAACTTACCTAGAATATAGCAGTTATAAGGAACAGATTATTCATAGGGAGCCTACATTTAAAGCAAACAAACAAGCAAAAAAGGCCACTGCCTCTGAGATTTTTGTTAAGCAAATAACTGAAACTATATCTTTGTTTTATAAGCAAATTTCAAATAGTTTCTTGGCTTACATACAGGTTAGCTTTCTCATTAAGTTAACAGTGTTTGTTGTAGTAGGTGAGAGCTTGCACATATGCCTGGGATGATTTTTGTTTGATTGATGGTTTGTTTTGTTTTTCTGCAAGATTAAATGTTAAAAGTATGTACATCTTTGTTCCCTAAATCTGCAATGTGAGTTCTCCTAGGACTGGAATATTCAGGGTATGTGAAAATGGTTGGATAAGTCAATTACTCTTAAGGTATTTGCAAGTACTTTAGATTTAGTAGAAATAAATAAAATCCCTTTTGTATGTGATGTGAGTTTTCATCTTAGCAATACTGATGATAAATAATTCTTATATAATTGCTTTCTCTGTGATGCTTTCTGCTTGCTGTGGTAGTTAGAGCATATATCCACGTTCACATGCAGCTGATGAGTCCGTTTGCTGATCTGGTTCTTCAACCGAATTACCTGTAACAAAGTGGCTAAATCTTCAAGTTGAAGTTATGTCTACTCAGTGCTCATGGGATGATACTCATTACTGCTGCGAAGCAACATCAAGAACTTGCAGGGAATCAACTTTGGTTCATGCAACTAGCTTAATTGTTCACTCCCAGGTTATGTTTGCTGCTGCATAGCAACACTATCTTATTTCTAGATTCATGGGTGGGCAGGATTTGTTCATATAGTACTTAATCATATCAGAACTTGTCTAACGGGGCCATCATCTGAACTTCAGTGCCTGCTGCCCAAGTTAGTGTTCACATCCATTACAGCACTGTAGGAAACCGGGATAATTTGAGATACTGTCTGGCTTACTGTCCTCAAACGTTCGTAATGTGCTTATCGTAGTTCAGTAACCAGACACATTTATTGTTGGCATTTTATTTTCTTACTGGTAATGTTTTTCTTTCCTACGGTTCATCTGTGGCTTTCCACATAATAAAACAAGCTCTTGCTTAGGCTAATGCCTTAGATGAAAGGACAGCAATTCCTTTCTTTTATCCTCAGTGAAGCTCTGAGATTTAGTGAGAAGGATTGTTTAAAACCTGGGGTTTCAAAAATACCTGTCAATTTTAAACAATCCAGGAATGTATAACAGATAGCTGGAACTTTCTGTTTTGGTAGTGTTGAGAGCTGCTGCGGGTGTCTAAATTACCTGCCTTCAGCAACAGTAAAAGGAAAGGTATAGGTACTGGCAATCTATTTAGACACATAAACGGCTTCCCCCTTTGGTATTTACAAGTCCTCTAGAAATTTCCTATCTTACTAAGATCCTGGCAGGGCTATCCTGAAACAATGTGTCACTTGGCTGAGTTTTCCTACTGTTACAGTTAAGTTGTTACTTAAGTTGTTACAGTTTTGTCTTAAGAAGGGTCTTTAGTTCCATCTCCTGTACAGGAGGATCTTGTTATGGAACATCTGTGCTGGAAAGTGGGAGCTTTGTAGAACAGATTTTATTTTTTGTGACTATTTCTTGAATTACTTGTTAGTAAAAACAAGTCTTTTCTTTTAAATTGTAGAAAGGAGGGATGACCGCATGAAAGATTAATGTATTTTTATAAACAAGTTGCCATGTGATTAAAATACTCAAACTTATTTTTAACTTTCAAAACAGCATTCATGGCTATGTATCAGTCTTCTCTCCATCTGGAACATTTTGTTCCAGTGATCAACTGTGTGGAGTGGTTCCCAACTGGCAGTTGTCACAAGTGGATACTTGCTGTGTCACAAGTCTGATACTGGCTGTGTGAACTGGGTGTTTCTTAGATGTCTCTTAGCTGTCTGTGCAGCTTAGGAAAGTGTAAACTATTTAAAAGTGTAGTAATTCCACATGTGAATAAAGCATTCTGTCAGGGCATTTGAATGTGTAGCCCCTTCCAAAAGCAAAGGAGTCTAAAGTCACTAGCTGTGAGACGCTGTAAATTTTAATTTTTCAGGTGGATATGTATCATAAAGTTTTCTACTAATAAAAAAAAAAATGCTGGGATGTACCCAAATAATGCTTTTCTTGGAGAAACATTACCAAATACTTCAGCGTTAAGAATGAAGGATTTAATAAAATGAACAAGTTATTTTATTTTCTAGAGAGACTTGATGTTATTGATTCTATCTAGTTATCTAATTATTTTCTTCTACTAGATTAGAGAGATAATAGCTTTTATATATATATGCATATACATATATATACACACATATATACAGTTAAGGATCTTGCAAGGAACACTTTTTTGATAGCAAAGACTTGAAAACAGTGCAGATAATATACTCACTTGTGCTGCCCAGATTTCCCATAGGAAAGGTGAGAGTTTTCAGAAAGCTAACAAAAGTTCACAACATCATTTACATTATGTGTAACATTAAATATGACTTATAAGAGGTATACATATTGGCACCCTTAAGAGTTGTAAACCCCTCCTAAGCCTAAATGATCCTTTATGGCTTGAACTTCCTGATACGCTACAAATATGTTGTGTCAGTTGCAGCACAGTTACATGTTCTAAATGTTCCCCGAAAACTTCATTGCTGGCCCTGTATTTCTGTGGATGTCTGACCCAAGAAGATTGCAGTGTGTTTAATGTTCAGCTCACATTATTTTGAAATTGTATTTTGGGCTATGTACTGGGGTCGGCTTAGTGCAGGGCATGGGGAATGTAAGTGCACACAAGTTCTACAGTTCAAGCAGGGATGAAGCTTTTTGTTCCGTTTTGAAACTTGTAACTTCTACAAATATGATTTTAAAGTCGCTTGTTTCACAAAGTTTGTCTTTGCTAAACTCTGGTACGAATTCTGAAAGCTTCTAAATGTGAATTCTGACAGCTGGCTGTCCAGGAGGTGGTCAGAAAGGAGGCTCTTTAACCTTAAAATGTCACTTGTTTATCTGCAGCCTGCCTTAGTTTTTTTTGTGATTAATGACTGGCTCATTTGGGAGCCAGCACCCTTCCTGTGAAGGGGGAGGATGCTCGTTTAGCATGTTGAGTATGTGTTTAGTGAGCCCTGCAGGCTACCTCGACTGAGCTAGAGTTTCAACACGTGGAATAGCTGTCATCTTCTGTCTCTTATCAGAGTTTATCTTTCCCCACTTCCTCTGTCATGTGTGGTGTTGTAGTACTGAGAGTGGCTGTATCCCGACGTGTCCTAGAAGTAGCATGGCCTGGAGAGATACCATGTTAACATCCATACAGTGACACCTGCCTCTGCCTCCCTTCTCCCTTCCCACCCTTCATGTCTCTGGGATAAATTACTGAAAATTACTGCACCAAAAAAAGCTTTAATAGGAAGGGGGAAAAGCTTGGGGCAGGGAGGAATAGTAAGAACACCAAGTTAACTCCCCTTATTTTGCTGCTTCAGGCCTGTTTCTGATTTTATACTGAGCTTCTGTACTACTAGTTGACTGCTGCTTCTTGTGGCAAGTAGTTAAATTTGGCTTGGCCCTCCTGTATAAAATAGAGAAAGTGCTTATAACGCAGCTAATCTCCCTTCCTCCCCGCAAACAACCCCCAAAATGTACTTTTTTTTTTTTATAGATAGCCTACATTTTTTTTTTTTTGCCTTCCGTTGTGCTTTTGGCCTTTCATTGTGACATATGGGATAGGAAGGGAAAAACAAGTTGCATGTCAGATGAAAAATGCTTGAAGTAATAATGATCTTAAATGGAAAAGTGAAAATGCCTCTCAAGGCAATTATTTTGACTTTTCTGATCTCTTATTTAGTTTCATACTAGCTTGGTAAAATAGATATTGAATGATATAAATGAGACATTTCTTCTTGTTTTATATAAAAATGTGTATGTATAAATCTGTGTGTATATATATGTACACATGCAAATATAATAGAATTTCTTTACGGAAGCTCCATATTCTTTTATTGAGGATGAGCACATTAGAATGAATTTATTTAGACTTCAGTTTGTGTTGTGCATCAGTCTATGGAGGGACAAATCCATTAATGCCATATGGAAAGTCATCTTCTGAAGGAAATAAAGGAAAATGTTTTCCTTGCTTCCTCTGCTTTTCCCTTGGGAAGTTGTGGCATTTAAGAAACTTTATCCTGGGTAAATGAGACACAAAAACATTCCAGTATTTTCAGGATTTGGATATTGAACTTAGGAAGAAGTGATTCCTGTAAGAACTCCCATTTCTAACAGTTCTGTAAGGGCTGGTGGGACCTCTAGTGATTTTGGTTGACTAATTAATTCACTTTAGGAGACAAACAACTTTGTATCAGGGTGAAACCTGCAAATGTGAGACAGAACCTTAATGTGGAAGCTGAAATCCACTTAATGTAGCATTTGAGTGGATGCATTGAATAACCTGGCAATGGTAACTCATCTGTTGTAGAGTCAGAGAGAAAATATTTTACATGTTTTATCGTGTACCTGAACTAGTTGCCACACCAAGAGAAAGTGTAGAGCTTTGTGAAGCTTCTGCATAGAGCTCCGAGGACAGAGCTAAACATTTGCTTTTACTGTTCTTTGCTGTCTAGATTGTCTGCATACTGTTACTTTATATATATGTATTACTTTCTATACATGCATTTATGTAGTTTTATATAAAATGCTTGGATTCTTGGCCAAGTGTGCATGCCAGGTATTCCAGTTGTGTTGAGGAAGTGCTAAATATATTTTCTAGCTCTTGTGGCTTTCCACTGGAGTGACTGAGACATTAAGTGTCCTTTTACGTGCAAGTATCTGCTTGTGCTGGAAGACCAGAATGCCTTTTGAACACTGTGGGAGTCGAAACACATTGTACCACTGAGCTTTCTTCAATAACACCAGAATCTATAAAACATTCTCCTTGATTTAAGAAAAAAAAATGTAGTAAGAAAAATACAGTAGCTGTGAGAAATTTTCTGTACGCTCGTTCTATAGCTTAAGCTGAGGCATAGCTTGAACTGTCAAGTCGGGTGCTAGCAATGTGGAATGAGCACAGGTTGCTCAAGGTCTACAATTACGAATGGTTATTTTTCCGGGGGTACCTTCCCTTAAGCAGGAGGGGATGAACTGTTGCTTTGTCCATTTAGCTGTTTCTACTTGTGGAAACTGTGTTCTTAAAAGCATTTTTAGACTGTGGTTGTAAATGCAGAGATGGTTTTAGGTTTACTGTTGCATGGTGATAGGGTTTATTTTGGAATAAGTAAAGGAGATTCAAAAGACAACTGCAAAATAGTTGAATGTGGTTAAAATATAAACTGAATCACATTCCTGTTAGTGCTGAGGGTTTGTTTGTTTTTGTACAATACTTTTCTATAAGAAGTGTGTAGTCTGTGTAAGATCTGCGAAGTTTAGTTGTGAAGATGGCTTTTGCATCCTGTAGCCATTTGACAAGGATTATTTATCAGGAACAGAGGAAACTCATTAACTGGTGGAGCAGAATTGTGTAAAATTGAATTCAGAACCGTTTTCTGCTTTTTTGTAATAAAATGATTACTGAAAGAATTCCATCTGAAGACTGTTGAAAGCTGGCTACAGTTTATGATATAACGGATAAAATCTGCATCCTTGGCCTTCCAACAACCTTTACACCAGCAGATGGTGGGCGTAAAGATGTCATTCATCATTTATTTACAATGGGCTTTATTTATTCTAGTGTCAACAGCTGCCCCAGGGAGCGGGTTATTGAATTCAAATGTGAAGCTCTGGGTTATTTGCTTCCTTTCAAATTTGTCTTCAGAGCTTAGTTGCTAGGAGTCCATTCTGTGCTCTAATAATGATTCATGTATTGTGAAGCCATTCAGTAAATTGGGTTGTCAGGGATTGCCAAAAAAGGTTTAGAGGTCTTTTTCCGAGATAGATATATATACACACATATGTGTGTGTGTGTACATATATATGCACTCATACATATATACATCTCCTGTATGCTATAAAATATATTGGAATATTTTTGACAGCACTGTAGTTGGTGTCCTTTCCTTATGTGCCTTCTTTTGCCAGTGTTAAAGACTTTTTATGCCCAGTTCCTCTCTGATCTCTCTCCTCACAGTCCTTCCTGCAAAAAGACTTTCTAATTCTGTGATTTTCAGCACAAAAACAAATAAAACAAAATCCTTTGCCATGAAATAATGAAACCTTGTCTCCTACAGGCAGGGCAGGAGTCCTTCCGTTCCATCACAAGGTCTTACTACAGAGGGGCAGCAGGGGCTTTACTAGTGTATGATATTACAAGGTGAGAATATAAAGGGAAGTATAACTGGATTCAAGTCATATGTCTTTGTAGAATTGCACTGTGGCAAGTTATGATATCCACATTAACATAACTTTTTAAAATAGATATTTGTCAGTTTAAAGTGGTAACACCTACCTTATGTGCTCCAAGTCACAATGTGATCCAGGTGCACTGTGCACTCCTTAATTTTCTTTGTATATTGACTATGTATAGATAAAATCATAAATTGTTTGACCATGAATGGCCATTATTTTAATTGAGAAAAGGCTTTAAAATATTTAATGAATTCCTTCCTTATGGTTTTATTAGCATGAAGTGTAATTTCTCTTTAGCCATTTGCAAACTTTTTGGTGAAGTGCCATTCTGAAAAAGAGGGAAATGGGATCACATCAAAGTGATTGGGTAAATATGCTGCAAAACGTCTACTGTTGCCAAGTTAGGGAGAATACAGTGCTTGTACTGTGGTTTCTTTAGGGGTGTACAGTTACTAAGTAACTAAGGCTTTCTTGCTCTCTTGAATAAAAAAAAAACCTGTATATTATCTGCAAAACTGTGGGATTTTTTTGACTAGACAATGATCATTAGTTTAAGAAAATGTCCAGCTAATCACCTGCTGTGTTTAAGATTTACTGTACATTGTAAAATCTGTAAAATGCTACCTTGTTTTCCTTATCTACTTGCAAAAACTGCTGCCAAGTTAATTATTCAGTTTCTAAACTCACTGAAAATGAATGTAAAATACTTTTTGCCTATGTGTGAACACATTATTTGTATTGTTTGCATGCTCAAATATGTGTTGTACTTAGTACTTTTAAAGTCTTATTCAGTGGATTTTATATGTATATAAAATGCAGCATTTTATAGCTAAAATATATATGTATATATTTTACTCTGTAGGGAATATGGTTTTAGTTATTCTGGGCAGTTTATAAGTACTTAATGCTCCGTGTTTACTAAATTTTTGTTTGCCTGTTCTCCCCCTGACAAGGGGATTACTAGCGCTTACCCATGGAGCATGTGCGCTAATAAATATACTGCTCAAGTAGAGCAGTTAACTAAACTCAAGCTTTCCTTCCTTTTATTTGTGTGTTGATCCCGCTAAATTTTGCTTAGTAAGTTCCAGGAGGCAAAGGAAAAAATGGATTATAAATAACTATACAAACAACTTTGTTTTGTATTAAAAGCAGTTATTGACAGACTGTTAAAAATATTGCTTCATATAGTGTTTTGATATTCTTTAGTGTTGATTATCTTCTCTGAAATCTTGACAAGTGTGTGAACAGGAACCAGTGCACAAACTTGGTTAAAAGCTATTTCTGCTTGCTTTTCAGTATGGCAGCACTGAGCAGTTCCATAGTTATTTGTAGAAAGCTCGGTGACTTGAACTTGGGAGTGAAATTTGCTTCTTCTAAAGTCTATGGAATCTGACTGATGAATTTTAATGGTCAGGAATTTAGTCCTTTATGTTTGTTAATAAGTAATGGAATATGATCTAAGCATAATCAAGGCTTACTATGAGTTTAAGGGCAAAAGCTAGGGAAAATGATTTTTTTGAAATACTGCTTAATTTTCCTTCTCCTCCGTCTTTAGGAGGGACACTTTCAATCACCTGACAACTTGGTTAGAAGATGCTCGTCAGCATTCCAATTCCAACATGGTCATAATGCTTATTGGGAATAAAAGGTAAAACTCAATCATTTTGAAATATGTAGGCAGTAAAACTTTATGGGTTGTTTGTTTGGATTTTGCCTCTTGCATATTCATACTTGTAAGAAGTAACCTAACTGTAAGAAGCTTTCAATCACTGAACAGAGTTCTACAGTCTTTGTCAAATGTGTGCAGTACACATTTACATTCTGTACAGTTTTCAGAAGTAATTTTATTTTAAAAAGATTGGTCATGAATGCATAAAATAAAGAATTACATGAATTATTTTTTCTCATTGTATTTTTTAACCCCTTGAATCCTGCAGAAGCACTTGGATCTTGCCCTTTTAAAGGGAACTTAAGCTCCTAATTTTAGGTGTTCTTAGCAAAAACAAAAGATCAGTTTAGAATCATACCAGAGAAAATGCCATTACCTGAGATGCAGCTCATGCTACAGGATTTACTTCAGAAACATGTTGTGTTTGTTAAATCTAATGAGTTTGTGTTATTTTTGGTTACATGAGATGTTTATGAATTCTAAATCTGCTTTGCGTGTTATGTTTTAGCCATCATTGACAAGATTTTACCATTTCCTGGTGAATTTGGGCAGCTGTTAGATACACCAGGTGCTGAAGAATCAATTAACATGTTTTGGAAACTCGTTACTAAATTTTTTAAATGATTTTTTTACTCGGTCTTTTCATCACCTAAACATTTGGAAGGTCTCGGCATCAACAGGGTAAACCTGTAGATGTTGAAGTTCTTCACAAAAATACATTACTGAATACATTAAACTTATCTTTAGTTTATCCAGTGAGTGTAGCATCATGTCTAGATTTTTTTTTTTTCCTGGAATTGTAGGATTTTTTTTTTCCAGATATCAAAGGCCGTGATTTCAGAATTTAATAACTTGTTACTTAGGCTACATTTGCCTTTTCCTAATTGACCTTGACTTGTCTGCATCCCTCAGCAATTCTTGAAGGTAAAAATGCCAGTTGAAATAAGCATGTAGGCTTCTCCCTGGAAACTTAATAAACAACAAGATCATATCCGTGACACTACTGAAAAGCAGCCTTGTGGTAATGGCAGGCTGGTTTCACTCATCTGCCCTGTTCATTTCTTCTGTGTTTCCCTACCTAAACCCCCCAGAAATACTGTCCTGTTGTGTACACATCAGACCACATTGAGTAATTATGGAGCCTCCACGTACATAATCTGGAAATGACCAACAACCTTTCTTACTAGAGTTATATGATAAGTATAATTTTTACAAATTAATATTAAAGTGTAATTTCTTATTAAATGAGGCTTTGGAAGCCTGTGCTGTCAAAGACTAATTTTTTATGCTGATGTGGCTGAACATACAGTGGTGACAAACAGAAATATATACTTTGTACACAAAAATATACTACGTGCTTGAGATACGTAAGTACTACATAAGCTTGCATGCTTAGGTAAGACATCTGTAGCTGTTCCTGGTCTTAGTTTTTAAACTGAGCTATAAATTCTTCTGCTCATTTGGCCATGTTTGTATCTTACAATATGCTCACTGCCTACAACTAGCCCAGTAATTATCCCAGTTGTAACTAAAGATGATTTAAACAGTGAGTATGCTTAGATTATGTATCGTAAGTTAGAGGTGATGATGCTACAGGAAGTATTTTAAGATGATTCTTTAAAAAGCATTGTTTTCAAGCCTCAAAGAGGAAGATGGGGAGGAAATGCCTTTAACTGCCTTGCATTGTACTAAGAGCATTTTGTAGGACATAGGAACAGGGCGTTTCACTTGAAACTGATGGAAGCAAGGACAGGGAAACTAGTGTAAGATTTTTGAAGGAATAAACTTTCTTTGTAAGAATCCAAAAAGTTTATCTGTAACACTTTTGTGCTAGTGACTCTTTACTAGATTTGAAAAACATTGAGAACTTAATCTGAAATATAGTAGTTGGTTTTTGAAAACAGTGGAACTATTAGTAGTAAAACATTACAAATACTATACTTAATCTTCTTTCCAGAACAAAACATAGCTATATTGATCTAGTAAGACCAAATGCTTCGAATTATTGGAATGTGATGTATGGAGAGAGGAAGACAACTGTGGTTAGTAGAAGCAGTTAAAGCTCTTATACAGATATGCTAAGATATCGGTAGAGAGTTTAGACTGGGTTATCACTGCAGCTTTTGATGCAGTTGCTGTCCCTTAAATAATAATAATAATAATAAAGTTTATTTCTGTTTTAATATTGAGATAATGCTGTACTGAACCACGCCTTTAAATTAAAAGGTATTATTGAGGATATAGTGGTAGTAACCAATGAATAAAACATTGCTCAAGTTTGAAAATACAGTGTCAGACAGCTACTTCAGGAGCCTCAGAATGAATACCTGTTAACTTGTCTTAAGCCTAAACTGACATACTGAGAATTCTAGCTAACTGAGCATCAAAATTGTTTTAAGAAAACTTCTCATATATTCTTAGCTCCAAATGCTCCATGTTCAAATGATTTGCTGAACAATCTTGAATCTATAATTCATCTAAACTAGCAGGTAGTGATTACAATAACAAAAACTTGGCTTACTACAAAATAGCTGCTGCAGTGAGTATGGCTGATTTTTTGATGTATTTGTAATTGTGAGAATGGCAACACTGAAGCCAGTATTATACTTCTCACTGGCAGTCTAGCTGTAAATTAAATCCATGCATTTGCATGCTGTTTAATTTGGAACTGTGCATCTGAGAGCACACTTTCACATGCACAATTTAAATGCAGCATTATTGTCAAAGTGTACTCAGTTACAAATGTACTTGCAAAGAGGAAAGGAGAGAAACAGTTCCTAAAGAAGCTTTAATAAGTAAAATGCGTTTCTGTAGTTTACAGAAATGAATTTGTCTTTGAGATATTTTTCTTTTAGTGAGCAGAAAAAAAATGAAGTAGTTCTATTTTTTTTGTAAAAGATTTCTTAATGATAGTAAGAACTGCTATCAGTTCAGCTTTTGTAGTGTGGGTAACTACATAACACTTTACTAAAAGGAGTGATAGCTATCTGAAAATATATTTTCTAAACTTAATATTGAAGGAAGAACTAGATAAGCATACATGCATCCGGTTGAAAGCTGTTTCACTGAAATCTGTGGTAAGATCCATGTCAGCTGGGGTTGACATCTTAAATGAGATTCCGTGGCTTTATATAGTAGTGTATATAGTTCATATGCTGTAGGTGCAATGTTTCTAGTAATTCTGCTTAATGTAAATACTTCAGTAGATATGAATATGTACATAAGACCTAACAGGGGGAATGTTGGCTTATGAGCATGTCTCTGGAGAATGATATTTATGATATTTACACATGTTGGACCATACAGGTAACTTGGGTTGTTTGTTTGTTTTCCATCTTAGTGATTTAGAATCTAGACGAGAAGTCAAGAAGGAAGAAGGTGAAGCATTTGCACGAGAGCATGGACTGATCTTTATGGAGACATCTGCCAAAACTGCTTCTAATGTAGAAGAGGTAACTTCACTTAACACTGATTTTTTTTGTTTGTTTTTTTGTTAAGTAAAAACAATTGTTTTGAATCACAATCTGTAACTTGTGCAGATCCTCTAGGTTTGAGATTCTTTAACTACTCCATGACTTTACATTACTATATAGAAAATATCTATGCTGTATGTGATTGTATGGCACTGATCAGATTGCTGAGCCTCTAGTAGCTTGTTTAATATTTATTCTTTTTAAAATATTTTGATCAAGGAAATCAGAGTACATCTGACTGTCTTGGAGTGTGGAAGATAAAACTGGATTAGGTTACTGTCCAAAGCAAGAGGAATATTCTGTATCCCTAACATATGTCAGTCTAACCTGTTCTTAAAGACCTCTTAATATTTCACAGCCTTTCCAGGCAATCTCATGTAATTTGGTATCCTTTATTGTAAGGCAATCATCATCTTTCCCCTAAAATATTTAGAAGAAATCTTCCTTGCTACAATTCATGTATGCACTTTCTTGCTGTGTCCTCTACAGACCTGGGGAAGAGATCATTGTCTTGCTTGCCTGCTTTGTATTTGAATAATGTGATACTTTTCATTCTTTTCTGTTTTAAAAAGACTTATTTACTCTACATTTTGCTGATAGCTGATGTTTCTAACATCATGATGATGCTAACAGTTCTTGCATATCTGACTTAAATTTACCCCTCACCTTTCCTGAAGGACAGTGGACAAAGAACCCCAACGGAGATATTCAAGTTACGTAGAGTAAAAAGATTATTTCACTCATCTTACAGGCCATACTCAGTTTATACAGCCTAGATTATTCATCTATTGTGCAAGAACATGACATTGTTCAGCTTCTCTTACTGTATAGTTCATCCTTCCTTTTCCCTAAAATTGCCCGAGTGCAAAATAAACGCATCAATAATAGGGTTTATACAATTCTTCCACCCATTTGAGAGAGATATTTAGATCAAATCAAATCACCGGAAGTGTGTGTGCTTTTTGCTGCTGTTACTTTTTGGTTTGGTTTTGTTTTACAGAATTGCTTTCATGGAAGTTTCTAAGTCTCTAGTCATAACTCACTGACTTTGGTGCTTTAGATTGGCTTCTTGAATCATCAGTTTTTAAGGTAGAGAGGAGAACTTTCAGGTCAATTCCAGAAACTGAGACACATTCTTCCTGGTGGGGGAAAAAATAATAATTTCATAAATGCATAAGTGTTCTGAATTTCTTTCTTTGTAAAAGAGCATAAGCACTGCAGTTCTTAAAATTCAGGCTTTTCAGGGCTGCTTATATTGTTTTATCAAGTCGTTTGTGTTTATAGAAAACCATTTAGTTTTGCAACGTTTTTCCTTGGTGTTTGTCAACTTTGTGATCATTATGGAATTTATATCCTTGACGGATAAGGAAATTCTATAGCAAGTGACTCAATTTTGATAATTTGTGAGAGTGAGACGCTGTTAGCTTTGTAAAGGCTACTGTATTATTCTCTGGTCCTACATTGTCTAACCACACTCCACACTTTCTGAATAGCTACTTTAGTGGGGAAATTCCATTAATTACTGATTAATTCTGTCTTATTAACTTGGGATTGTTTACTGCCTGAGCATTTCCACAGCCGTCTAGATCAAGATATGGTGTGCACTTCCTAACTTTGTCTAGCATGCAGTTAGACTGGAGGGAGCTGCAGCAAAGGAGCTGGTAACTGCGTGCTCCTGGTACTCGGAGTACAACGCTGGGCTACCGGGGACATTCAGGAGGGGCCCTGTAGCGGTACAAACCCCTGATGCTGGATGAGGCAAGGGAGCAGATCTGCATCATCAAGTGTAAGATGTGAAGTTCTTGTGGTCCTAGCCAGTGCCATTCAGTTAAAGGCTGCTCATGTTCCATGTGGATGTGTTACTGGAACAAAGCACATGGACATCTGCTCCTTATGGTGTACCAGAAGAAGGTAAATGGCCAGGGAGACTTTTTTGTAATGGATTTTTTTCATCACTCTAGTTGAAAATACTTCACTTCCCTCTGATGAGAGACAGTGCAAGTCTGTGGAGACAAAGTATGGTCAGTCCAACACGGTTTCTGACCCACTTTGTTGAATTACCTTGCTTCATGTCATGAACATCTACTATAGATGTTGTGGTGTAATGGTAGAAAGTCTCCAGCTGTTTCAGAGCCACCCAACTCTGGTTTAGCTGTTTCCTTTAAATCACTTCTGTTTTATGTTTTCTACCACTATCTGGACTCAGACAAGGCAGTAGGTTGTCCTGTATCGTGCTTGCATCTTTAGATCATGCAAAAATATTAACAGGAATGCTTAGCAGTGGTGAACATCCTGCTAGCTGTTCATCTTGTCCTCAGCTGCTCAGTAGCGTTTGCCCTGTTCGCCCAACAGGTACCTGGGAGTTGGGGACAGGCAGTAGGTGTGGGCTTGCCATAGCTTCCTTGGAGGTTTCCAAGACTTCAGTTTGGTCACAGGCTTAAGTCATGGTGCTTAGTGTGGAATGTGGTGGGGTGAGAAGAGTTCCTGAATCATTAGGAAGATAAAAGGATTGTTTACATTTTTTAAGGTATAGGTTTACCTTAGCTGCTGTCACAAGGCTAGTCTGACTAGCAACTTTGGCTGCACTGTATTTGTCAAAGCATTTTTCCTTTTCCTTGAGTTCCTTTTAGCCTTTGTCTAAAGCCACTAGAATAGATAACCAGCTAGCAAAACATAACTCGTTTTGTTTCACTTCTTTTTTCAGTGCACTCTAACAGCATCCCAAAGCAAAATAATCATGCTTGTGCTTGTTTTAATCAGAATGCGGTTACTTTCCCACCTTACATTAAAATTACACATAATAATTTGTTTATTCCCTCATTTACAAGAGGAGATTAGGATGCAGGTCAGAGCTTGCTGACCGTGTTTCTTCTTGTTTGTGTTTTTTTTTTTTCTTGGACAGTGTCTAAAATCTCTAAAGTCAGAACAGAATAATGTGCATAAAGGCAGTGTATCCGTACAGTCTTCTATGGGGTGCCTTAGTTGATCCTATATCCCCAGAATATCCCCCTTTAATGAGACAATAAAGAGGTAAAGATTCCGAGTTGCGTAAGGAAGCCCGAGTAACTTTGGGTTGAACTCCAGCCTGCTACTCCAGACTGTGCCAGTGAGCAGAGTTTGGGAAGAAACAGAATTTCTAGTCCATGAAAGTTTGGGGTTTTTTTTTTCCTTTTATTTTTTGGTTTTGTTTTGTTATGTTACATTGGTTTTGACTGTATTAAAACCACTGTTTGTTTAAACTTTATTGAAATAGAAATTCCTCAATCCTTTAGCCACCTGGTGAACTGATGGTGACAAGGTGGAGGTAGGTGATGTTGCTCATGAGAGTTTCAGCCTTGAGGAAGGGAAGGGGCAGGGCATGGTCTCTCCTGAACACTCTCCTTGGACCTTGTCCCTGCTCCCCAGGAAGTTCCTGGGGCTTGGGGCTCTTTGAAGTGTAATCAGAATACAAGGTCTCAGTTGGTCTGGAGGCCTTCAGCCTTTGAGAGCCTTGAGACAGTATCGTTTTGATGCTATCTGCCTGCCAGGACCATAGGCCCCTGGCTCCCTAGTTCTGGGTCATGTCCCTCCGTGTAACTCTTCCAGTGCCCCAGGCGTCTTTCCGAGCGCTGGCTCCATGCGGTGTGGTGCGCGCAGAGCAGCAGGACGCTCTGCAGGAGGTGGCCGTCCCACCAGAGCCCGTCCACGCCGAGGCGCCGCCTGAGCCCCTTTGTGGGACGCGTTCCTGGCGCATCCCTCGGCGCTGGGGTCATCCAGCGGCACAGAGGTGTGCCGCTCTGCGGTGGGAAAGCGGGAGGAGACCCGAGGCCCTGGCGGAGCTCTGCGCTGAGGGCCACGCTTTGGAAGCTGTCGGCTCTGCGGCCCTCGCGGTGCCCTCAGGATGCGTCCGCCCGGAAAGCAGCCCCAGCGCAGCGCGGAGCCGAGCGGAGCGCGGCCGCCGGAGGGCAGCATGGGACACGGACAGGGAAGGCAGAGCCCGAGCCCTGCGTTTGAGCAAAGAGGGACTCGTAAAACCAGGGTTTGGGACAGCATCGGCGATTAGCTCGCGTGTTTGCTGTGTGCTTGGCAAAGTCCTTACACGCTTATGGTGGCAAGAGCTTTCTGGGGTAGAGAAGTGATGAGACTGCAACTTGCAAATGTGGCTAATACGGCTGTGCAAGGCATTTGCCTATTTTGTCACATCCGTGCCACATGAAAACATAGCTTTTGTGACTTGCGTTCTCGTGCCCTTAGCATAAGACCACTGCCACTGCTTGATGCAGAGGTAGCAGTAGTTTATTTCCTTATTTCCTGAGGTGTTTTCACCAGTGCTGGAATTTGTTCTTCCTGGTTTTGTCTTGGGGGTAGTTAGCCTATATGGCTTATTTATTTGGTGTGGCAAAATGGATGTCGTAGTTGATTGCATTTTGTGTTCAGTGTATTAAGATTATTTTAAATGCAGTGCCTGCATTGCTTAGTTTCTTTATTTCTTTTTTTTTTCTTTTTTTTTTCTTTTTCTCCTTTTTGAGGTGAGCACTGTGAGATGTCTTAACTCCCATTAAGCAGTGTGATCTAGGAAACTCCTAGTGCATGTTATCTAATGTGATGTTACCTTAAAGACGCTGCTGGACTGTGACTCAGAAATCGCTGTGTTTGCACATGGCAGCGTGCAGATCAGCAGGCTGCACTCATCACTATTTGAGAACCTACCTGTGAAGCACAACAGAAAAATAGATTAAACAGTAAAAAAAATACCATTTAACTCGTTTGCAACTTTTTCTAATGCTATATGCAGTAGTCTCTTAAATTGGAAGTCAAACCAAGAGCTAAAAATCAGAGCTAAATACCAGATGTAGATATTTTTCTACAGTTTTGGTGCTTTCTTTTTCTAAGCTACATTTGAGGAAAAGTTAAATTTATAAGCTTAGAAACCTGGCATACCATTTTTGCAAAAGGGCCCTTCCTGTTAGGGATAGTGGGATGGGTAGCAGGGCCTTGCTACCCGTCAGGTGATGTGAGCATCGAGCAGGTTGAATCCAGCACTGCCTGCCCAGAGGGGGAGAAGTAACGTGGATGGACTTGAGCTCCTTTAGCACGGAGGTGTCCAAGTGTCTCCGCATCCGGTGGGAGCAGCGTTGCCAGAGGGTACGGATCAACCCGGCATGTTGGTCGGCAGCGTGAGCCCGTGCGGGCCTCGAGCTGTGGGGAAGGGGCTGCACTGCAGGGCGCTCCAAGCTGGCACCCCAAGTGCTGCCGTGCTGCTCGGGGGCTGATAAATCCAACCTGGCTTTGGAGGGAAGCAGCTCTGTCTCTGCACATCTGTGGCTCATTTAATCTGCAGGCTGGATAAACTGCACCTAGACTGAGAGCCTACAGTATACGGCACATTCTGGGTAAGGGGGAGAACATGCAGTGTGTAAAGTCAATTTTTTAAATAAGTCAGTTATACTGAGTTCACCTTCCTGTCCTTGCTAATTGGGGACTAATATGCGATGCCAAAATCTGATATGTATAATGTGCTTAAAGCAACTAGATTGGTGCTTCAGTAGGGCTCCCAGGCATTTATTTTAAGTCCGCTTACACTTTGAAACATAAACTAACTCAAAATAAATGGATGCAAAACACTAGAGCTGGGCACTTTGCCATGCAGAATACTAGTTTGTGCTGTGTTTATGGTAGTATTTGCACCACAGTCACCAATGGCAATTTGGTAAATCAGATTTTTGTCTTCGGATAACAGAAACGTTAGAAAGGGACAAAGTAGGCTATTTCCGTTTCTCCCATCCACCATTTCTTAAGCAATATACTTAATACTAAAGCAGGCTAATGGCTTGTGTTGAAAGTTACAGTACCTGGGCAATAAGTATGTTGAAAAGGTATCATATAGAGACAGCCAAACACCCTGTGTTCCCCAGTGTGTTTTCAGGGAGGGGGATGACAGATAACATTCTTGCAGTGATCTGTTCTTGAACATAGCATCCAAAAGGTAGTTTCTATTCAGTTGTTAGTTTGGAGTTTGTGTTCTGGTAAAATTCTGTTTGTTTTTTGTTGATCTAAAGTGATTCTTATGCATCTCATTTAACTTCTATGAATTTAATTCCAAGAGCCTTGGCGTGCTTAGCGAATGCATTCTAGAATTGTGAAAGTGCCAATTGTTAAGTGCTTGTTTACATGAAGTTATCATAACACATTTTTAAGACTTCAAGCTCTGTTTAATGTCCTACTCGAATGGGAGCAAGCAAGTATCTTCACAGATTCCAGCTGTGTGCATTTCCAAAGTTTTTGACCTCTACCTTTCATTAGTCCCATGTACGAGACAGCTATAATAATTATTGTGTAATCAGAAACCAAGATAAGTTTGCATTTTCTTCTTATATTGAAAACTTCAATTTCTGAGGAATGTGAATCAATTCATAATTGGCTGAAAGCCAATTTCTTCTCCTCAACTCTAACGCGTGTTTGAAAAACGAACTCACTTCCTAAGTGCCTTGTGAATCTACAGTGATTAATTCTTCTCATTATTTTGCTGCAAATTCTCATGACCCTCTGTGATGATTCGATCACCCACTTAGAGTTTATGCATATTCATATCTCCCCGCTCCTGCCGCAGTCGTGCGAGTCTCCTTCACTGGCTGTGCTCGTGCTTGGTGCAGTAATTGAGCTGCAGTAGATTGATTACTCTGGGGAGCTGTAAGGCCTTTAAAGGTGAAAACATATCAGTCCTGTTAATTAGGAAACAAAGCTCTGGTGGCAAGTTCAGCAGTCAAATGCTTCCAGTGTAGAAATGAGGAAAGGTATGATTTGTTCCTCTCCGTGAACCCTGTTTGCTTTTTTTATATTTGAATTAGGTCTGTGTTTGCTGTAATAGGCTCCTGCATATCTCATATGACTGTGTGGTGGTGGTATTTTGAAGCAAAAAGAACTATAGATTTGAAATTGATTGTAATTATTAGCGGATGTCAATCACCTCTTAAATTATACATTATCTTAGGCATTATGTGACCTATAGCATTCAATGTGAGCTGAAAAATGGAATCATTGCCTGTAAACCTTAACCAAACCCATTTATATCGTTCATTCTCTCAGACCAGAAAGTCTTTTTCTGAAAATCTGTAATTTAAATTCCGAAAAAAACATAATAAAACCTAGAATCTCTTCTTTCTCCTGCTAAGATGTCTATTGTCTGACACGTACAAGATTAATTAAAGAGAATGCATTCTTAACATTAGGTGAATATTAAATGATAGCATAAGGTTTCATCCAGCAGACAGCATCCTTACATCATCATTGTAAGTACCCTGTGGTTTTATGTTGCTAAGCACTCTAATCTATAGTGGCCTATTACAAAGATATTAAGGGTAGGGGAAACCATCTGCCACACAATCTATCCATAAGGGTCAGAAATAAATAATTTAAAAGTAATTTATATATCTTAAAAACCACTTTTTCCTCAGTAATTACTGGACAACAGATTGCAGCATACAGATGTTAGGAAAACGCCACCTTTCTTGCAGACAGCAAGCGATGTGCTGCTGCTGCAGGATGGAGCCCTCGTACCTGCTCCTGCCGAGCTCCCTGAAACAAGTGCCCTGAGGATGGGCTCTTGTTCGTGCGGCTTACGCTGAAGGATAACGTATCTGCTGGCTAATTCTTTCTATTTTCCCTTTTCCTCTCTATTTTAGGCATTTATTAACACTGCAAAGGAGATCTATGAGAAAATCCAGGAAGGAGTTTTTGACATTAATAATGAGGTAATTTTCAGTACTGTAAATGTTTGTTTATGTACAAAATGCCTTTTCACCCAAAAGCTGGAGAGTAAAATACTTGTCCATTCCACTTGGATGTAGAATTGTCTGCCACTGTGATAAAAATGGATTAAAATAAGTGACCCTATCCATCCATGAAGCATCGCAAAATAATATAAATCCCCAAAAGAGAAGAAAATCCACTTTCATCCACTTCTCCATATGGTGTCATCTGTTTTCAAAGATAATTTTCCGCTATGTAAATGGGGGACCATGTTGATATGCCAGATGCACTCCGTGAGCTGTCCAGTGCAGGGGAGGGGTTGCTTTGAGAGTTACATAAAAGACTTTTGAAATGTTTCTGGTTTAGGTGGCTGGATTCAGTAGGGAATACAAGATTAGCCATTTTGCCTATGCACATTACTCAAATGACAGATTATCGTGCCCTGTCTCTTTGGGTTATCTGGGAGGAGGTTGGGGAATGGGGAGATGCAGGGACTGATTCTGTAATGAACGAGTCTAACAATCAACAACACCTCTCTTGAATTTTAAAATGATTGTCCCGTTGAAAATCTTGAGTAGTTAGGAGATAGATTCCTGGCCATAGAAAGAGGAGGTTCAAATTCAGTGGTTGGAAGTGGCAAAATTAGTAGGTAAACTCTCCGTTTGGTAATACTTGCATCAAAAAGTAATGCCACATAAGTAGGTTTGAATTCTCATGTGAAGTGGCGAGTCGCTCCTGGTGCACAGTTCTTAACCTCTGTGTCCATCAAGTCCCTGCCGAGGTGCTTGGTCAAACCACACGTGGAAACCGGCGCTCCTGCTGTTCTGTGTCTGCCCTGGGAATAGGGGTCTCCTCCGCAGGACTCGGCCTGAGGCCCCTCGCTTTTGTTTGAGGAAAACGAGCAAACAACAACAACAAACTATGCGTGTAATGTTTTGGTGCAGCTCTATTTCAATTCAGTTTAGTGATGGAAAGCTTAAAACTGTCTGCAGGGCTTTCCCTGAAGTTGCAGAAAATGCACTCAGTACTGCCGTATAAATTAGGCAGTGATGGGAGTGTCTGGAAAGGCTGCTCGTTGTATCTGTCGAGTTTCATATAGGAGCTGGCTGCTTTACAGCGCCTTATGGAGCTCTGACTGCAATGTGCTGTCAAGAGCCAACAGGCCGTGCTCGTTCCTTGGCTTTATGCCAAGTCTGACTCCTTGATTCTTCAAGAAGTTGCTACCAGCCCAGAGGGGGCAAAACCAATGAGCCATAGGGCATGCTTTTTATTAAAGAGGAGTCAAAGAGCGAAAAGAAACCACATCAGCTGCTGTCAATACTGAGCTAGTGCCAGAAACCCCAAGGCTACTACTGTTGCAGAACAACTGCCAAGCACTATAAATCTGAGATTTACTGTGACGCAAAGTTTCCTTAAGAGCTTAATTTCTGAAGCTACTGTATTACTTTTCTCAAAGTGCTGTATTTTTAGGTAAAATCCACTTGAGGGAGTGAGGGTTAAGATATAAGTGTGATTTTGATGAATGAAAGAGCTGCGCTGTGTGTGGATTCTTGGCAAGTAGCCACGTCTTTCGGGATCATAGAAATTATTGATGACACAGAGCACTCGTGTGCCCTTAGCCTGTACAGCTGATTCAACACAGAGAGAAAGGCTGGCTAGAGGAAAAGTTTTATACTAAACTAACAGAGGCTTTAGTAGGAGGGGAGGGTTATGTGTTCCTGGAAAACGTAATGTGATCTTAAAGCCTACTATAAAGTAACATTTAAATATTGCTCTTGCTCTGTGTTTTCGTGCTAGGAGTTAAAGAATTTAACATGGAGAGAAATTTAAATCAGAAGGAAAGCATCTATCTTTTAAGTCCATATTTCATTGCCCAAAAGGCATTGCTTAAAAAAAAAAAAAATGTTTTCCTTTGCATGTGAAAGGGTAGCTTGGTATTTGACCTCCTGCAAAACAGGCGAGGCTCTCAGTCGCGCTGCTGCTGTAAAATCATGACCGTGGGGCTTAAACTGTGTTCCAGGCCAACGGCATCAAGATCGGCCCTCAGCACGCCGCGACCAACGCGACGCTCGCCGGCAGCCAGGGGGGACAGCAGGCCGGCGGGGGCTGCTGTTGAGCCCCTCGCGGCTCCCCGGCCGCCCCCCCGCCGCCGACCCGAGCGTTCGCCCTCCCCTTCCCGCCTGCCCCGCTCGCCTCCACTTCAGCTCCGCTGAGACATGAAACTTGTAAGTTGGTTTCCTGTTGCAGAAGAAGACTTTATCCTTCAAATTCTTGTATAACTTTGAATAAATGGTTAATGTTCACTTAAAGACAGATTTTGGAGATTGTATTCATATCTATTTACCTTTGATTTCTAGGTCAATTGATGTGATTATTTTTGTTAAATGTTGTCTTGTGCCCTTGACTACGAACTGAATTGTATTAAACACTACAAAGTCATCTGAGTATTTTAATCAGTTTGTGTAGTTAGGTTTCCCAGCTCCTGTGGTTACCTAATGTTTAATATTGTAGAGCTGTCCTTAAGTTTTTTCTTTTTGTTTTTTTTGTCAATTTTGAAGGCTATGAAGAGAAGCAGAAGGACTCTTTTAATTCTGTATTTATCACTTTCTGTATATATAGTTTAATAACCTGCTTGGGTGTACTTGCCAAGCTAGAATTCTTTAATGCATTTGCATAAATTCTCTACTACTTAGCTTGAAACTACAGAAGCATTATTAGACATTGCTTGGACGTGAAATTTTAAACCTTTCGACATTATTAGCATGTTCATCCTCCCCTGTCATTATCCTGAAGTCCAAAAAAATGCTTAATGTATATTACTAGAGGCTTCATACATGCTATCTATTTTAATGCCAAATGTTTGCTGTTTGCCCACAATTTCCACAGCACCTCTTCAGAAATGGATTAGCTGTTTGCCTTAATGAATGTGAGAGGTAAAAACAAGAGTATGAATGGAAAACACAGGAGGAGTTGATAAAATGGCACATTATTAAACCTTTAATGTTCTTTTCTTGTTTACCACTTGATTTCTAAGGATATTTTTCATGCAAGGGCAGTTTTTCAACCTAATTGTACAGTGTTTGTGTAAAGTTTTCTTTTAGTGACAACTTGTAACCCTAAATATATGGTAAGCATCTTGTCTATTGTGAAGAGGGTGTGAAAATAAAATCTGCCGGTTTGAAAATCCTGATGAAAATCAAAACTAGAAACGCTTTGGTACTTATTATGGGGAGGGGCGGAGGGGGGTGGCTCTGCCCCAGGTGAAATGGTTGCAGCCTTGCAAAGCAAAATCCCCCGTTCGAGTGTTTATTCGTTAGCGTGCAGAATACTCATGTCACTTTTCCTACAAATGAGGGGAAAAAAGTTTCCACCTCTTCATTTTTATATAAATCACAGTTAAGAGGGTAACGCTAATGCGAGGCCATGCTTCATGTATCTCTAAAGAGGAAGAAAAAATGACTGCAAAACTTGTCTTATTGGACCAATACCACCTGCAACACAATGTTGGGGGACATGAATCTTCATGTCACCCATTCTTGTTGTTGAAACGTTAACACTGCAAGCGAATAAACCTCAGTCTGACAAGTGTAACATAGCAATGGCTCTGAGATTAAATAAAAGTTAAAAAGTGTGTGGAACCTTCTGTTTGTATATGTGGGGAGGAGGGTCAGCCAAAGGGGCTCATGCCCTTGCGTGCTGCAGGTCTTACACTTGCAAGAGCACTGGAAGCAACGCGGTGTAACTATTTCACCGTTTAAGCTTTCGAGGGGGCACCGTTTACATTCTTTCAACTGTTAACTGCTTCTTATGTAACGTTTTCTTTTATAAAACACAACCACTTTTATTACTTCCGCTGAAGTTCAATGTGTTGCATGACAGTAAAACCCTGGAAATAAATTGCATTATGTTGAGGCTGAACTGCCTTGTAGCCTTGAGGTGCCCACGTGAAGGAGAGACCAGCAAAGTGAGTTTTGCTTCCCTGCTTGAATCGGCGTGTGAGGATTTTTGGACCTGGTGACAGAGCAGAGCTCAGTCACTGGAGACAAGATGAGAGGACGTGGAGTCTGCTCTTCTGCAGCAGCCTCGGCAGCCTTGGAAACGTGAGTACATTTCTCCTGCTTATGAAAATTGCCACTGTTAGGTAAACAGAAGGGAGAAATTTATACCCAAATTCTAAGAAAAAGAATAGTGCCCGCTGCTCCAAGTGGTGGTTTACGAGCTGGAGCCCCTGGCCCAAAGCCCCTGGGTCGCATTCTGAGAGCAGGGGCACAACGGGAGGCGCAGGACCAGCGCGGAGGAGGATGCAGTGACACTTGTGTCCACGCTGGTTTCACTCCTGCGAGCAGGTTGTGGCTTCCGCACCGGTCTCGTGCTGCACGTTGTGGGGGGAGCTGGTGCTTTCGGAGGAGCTCCCACAAAGCGGGACTGCCCTCACGTTCTGCCTTGCTTCTGTCACCAGCCTTGTGCAAACCTGATCGGATAGAAATACGTGCGTGTTTGTGGGTTCGGAGAAGCCACCGATCCTGTCATGTGCTATTAGAGTTTAAATATTATACTGCACAGAACCCAGCAGCAGGGTTTAATTGTACAGTATGTGCTTTGCAGGGCTTTTCTGATACTGATTTCAGTTTGACCTGTGTACAAATAACTGATAACTTAAGCAGTTTCCATGCTGCATTCCAGTTGCTTCTGGTGACATTTTTGTAAGCAAAGAGTTAAAATAGTCCTTCGTCTGCAGCAACTGGTACCACTGCTCATGTAATGCAAAACTACTGTCAATACTGAGAAGTTGCATTGAGGTGCAGTTTCCTGCTATCCTGGCTATCTATGGCATAAACCGCAGTTAACTTGCGAAAGAAGAAATGTGCAGTGACAGATCCTCTAAGCATGACTTAAGACTTGTGTCTCTTATTTCTACTTAAAATGAGAAGCTCCAGGAATTTTGGCAGTCACTTAGGAAAGATTAAAGTTCCCTAGGTCTTATACCTGTATGTTTTTGTTGGCTTCAGTCATTCTGATTTATTCTTGTGCAAAATCAAACTTGGAACTGACTTAAGGTAAATGACTGCCAAAACATTTACAGATAAGTTAAAATAATGAGACATTTTCAATTCCCTAGTAGGCAGCGCTCCGCTCCTTGCTCCAGAGACTTTCCCTATTACATTAGACTTCTTAGGATACTTAGTTCATTGTTTTGTTGACGAGTTGAGGAGCCCTCAACCATACTATTTATATATCTGGGGGTTTTCTGAAGGGCACAGATTAGTTGTAGGCTAAATGGCATATCTTTAAGTTGGGAAAATGGTTTCTGTCCTATGAGTTTGAGTGTTGGAGCAGCAAATCCGTTCATGGGAAGAAATAAAAACTCTTATCCAGCTCTAGGTTACAGTTAAACTGAATTCAACTGAGTTTGCTTATTTATTTTGAATTAGAGCATCTGTGCTTTTCACAAAGTTTTTATACGTATTATTTTTGCAGATGCTGAATCCTGAAATGATAGTTTTGTCACTGCTGATTGCCTTGCAGCTTTTCTTCATAGGTTTTCTTTTCTTAATAGGTTTTTCTCCTAAATCAAGTCTTCCTCATGTATTTCCTGCCTTTTCTGTGGTCTATCTGGTGTTCTCTCGCTCAGAGTGGAATCCCATCAGCAAAGTGCTCTTCTCCACCTTTCCTGCTCCATGTCAATTGGACCTACGTTTGGGGGAATTTACCCAGAAGAGAGTAGGATGTGGGGAAGGAGGAGTTGAACTTATGCTGGTTCATGATCAAAACCATAGGGGCTCCGTTTCCATATTACCTGTGCACTGTTTTGCGTGTGCAGATACCATCTTTCTATTCCTCTTCCACTACTGAATGGAAAGAGGTAAGAGAGAAAGACCCACAAGCCTCAGACAACTTTTTTTTTTTTTTCCTTTTTTTTATCAATTTTTCTGGTGACATTGTGCTGCACACTCTTCCTAAAGTTTCTACCCGCTAGGGTCTGCTGGTTTCTTTCCGCTATGTTAGTACAACGTAACTTTTAACAGTACATAGCAGTGATTTATTTTACTATGGTACTGAAATTTCCATTTGTAAATAATCCAGGCTGCTGCTGTGTAAGTAGCTGCTGAAATGTCTTTACTGGGTCTGCTGCGTATGAAAGAAACCACAACATTAGGCAATAAAAACTACTAACAGAATGTTACAAAACCAAGACCATGACAAAAAAGCAGCGTGTTGTGGATCTATCATTTTTATTCTTGGGACAGATTTTATTATTTTTGGAACTATTACAAGGGCCATGTTAAATATTGTGTATGATAAGAGGAAACAGACTCTTGGCAAACATGGAAAACCAATTACAGTATATTACCCTATTCCCCTTCCAATAAAGGAGGGGCTAAGCTACGAGTTTATTCTTTGCTTAGCAGCTGGGGAAAAAGAAGAAGAAAAAAATGTTCCTGCAATAGGACTGCCTTGAGGAAAGTGCCTGTTACGGGAGCAGTCTCGTTGCAGGCAGCCCACATGGAAAAGGCAGCCCCAGGGCACTCGGCCGTTGCTTTTCCTCAGTCTGAAGAGGAGACTGGTGTTAAGGGAGCCCTTGATGAAAGGAAATCGCTACTCTCTGTTATCAGGTATAGCGCTCTCGTTGTAACCAAACACAGAATTTTTATTTATTTTAACCGGCAATACTGTGAGTTGCCCTATAATGGTGATGAGCATTTCTGAAAAAAAAATATATATATTGGCAAATAAAAGGGAACACATATCTGATATTCAAGCATGTGATTCGGCAGCTCCCTCAGATAGTTCTCCATGACCTGGAGGTGAAATAAGGTGCAGTGAAAAACAAGTTGAAAGTTTACTTAGATGATAGATGGAAGCATGTTGTACCAGACTATCTGACCTCCTGTCCTAAATTGCAGCTCTTGAAAAATTGTCCATGATCACATGAATGTAAATGAACCAATGCATCGACATACAGTTCTGTGTGTTTTTCCCCATGAAGCAGTAATGATTTTCAAATAACTAGTTTAAAGAGTCACAGATTTAAACGTGCATTGGACTGAATCACGGTGACGTGCAGGACTACAGTATAGTTTATGTAAATTAACAGGATGGCATTGGGCCTTCCTCACTTAAGAGAAACCCAGAACAACTTATTAGATAGAAACTACTTTTTCTAGACTTTTCTTGACAATGCTGGGAGCCAAGAAGGTCTGTGGAGGGTAGCTCAAAAGAGTGGGGCATTTGTAACAGGGGTTAGGAAACGGCCAGTGTTCTGATCCCGGTCTGTGAAACGCTCTTGGGAGCAGGAACGCGCCTGGCATTACGTGACTCCCTGGGCAGTTCCCTGCCAGGCGCGTTCAGGAAGCCGAGGCCCCATGGAGGTGCTGGCCCTTTCCCCTCAGGATGATGCGAGGCAGAGAGAGGCCTTCGCTCTGAACACCGCACCCCGCGCAGGGAGCGCTGCCCCCTCGCGTGGGGCTCCTGCCCCCTTTGCCCACGGTCCTTTTAAATGCGGAAAGTAGCGGAGCTGCAGGGTGAGGGCTCTGGCTGGTGCTGAGGCACCTCCTGCCTGTGGAGGCCCCTGGAAGCGGGACCTGAGGAGGAAAGATGGGATCAGAAAGCTGGCAGAGGAGTAAAGTGCGTGTCCTGGGTAAAGCCCTGCAGCCGTGCAGCAATGGACACTTCTAACGCTGGGGAAAATGCAGTTTATGCAGTTATGTCACCATGCTGGCCGGCAGGATTAATTGCTGTGCACCACAAATTAATATTTTGACCTTTCATCTGCCTTCCTACCTCGGACTGAACCTATTCTCTTTCAATCTTTTAAAACCCTCTATGTTATTTCTCAGGTTTCTCTGTGCCTTCTGAACCTGCCTTTTCTCCCTTGTTACTTTCTTTCCCCCCCTTTCCTTTTCTCTCCCCCATGGATTTTTGGGATGGGTGCCTGGCTAAGAGGAAGGTTTCAAGAAAAAACAGCAGCACCCTTGCACCCCCCTGTTCTTTTGAGAGACCCTTATTCGCTACCCCTGGACAGGGGGTGGATGCTGGGGCCTGCTCTGTGAAGGCCTCGATCACCCTGCGCAGGGCGGGCACAACCCCGGCTACCGGTGCGCTCAATCCTGCTGCGCCGCTCTTCGCGCACTTACGGGCCGCGCCGCGCGCTCCTCCCCGCCCCCCGCGC